GACACAGAATCTGAAGCAGGCTCCAAGCTCTGAGCTATCAACACCGAGCCCATTGTGTGTGATCTCACGCACAGACCGTGAGATCATGACCTGAGCCCAAGTGGGATGCTTAACCTGAGCCATCCAGGTGCCTCTGTAAAAATTATTGAAGAATAACAAGGGGGAACATCAAATATAGAATATGGAAAAACAAGAGATGGAGAAGGAACTGAAGAGAGCAAGTAGAAAAAGAAAAAGGCTCATGGAACAAAGGGTAAAAGGGTTTTAAGGCAGAAATTCCTTGATACTGTCAGATGTTAATGAGAACAAAGATGATGAGTAATGGAGCTGTCACATTTGGCAATTACTGACCAATATTTGTGGATTAGTTCAGGATTCCAAAATGAAGTGTTTTGATGAGTGTATTAGTTTCCTAGGGCCTCCATAGCAAAGTGCTATTAACTAGGTGGCTTACAAAAACAGAAATTTATCCTCTCAATTCTGAAGGCTAGAATTCTGAAATGAAGCTATTGGCAGGGTCAGTTCCCTGCTGGACGTTCTGAGGAACTGTTCCATGACTCTCTTCTGCCTTCTGGTGGTTTTCAGTAGTTCTTGCTGTTCCTTGGTTTGAAGACACATTGTTCAAATTTCTGCCTGTTGCCACTACCTCCCTGTGTGTCTCTGTGTCTCCTCACAATATGTTCTCTTTGTGCGTCTCAGTCCAAATTTACATTTATCTTGTAAGGGCAATAGTCACTGAACTAATTTGATTACATCTGCAGAACCCCATTTACAAATAAGGTCACATGCATAGGTACTGGGGATTAGGACTTCAACATATTGTTTTGAGGAACACAGTTCAACCCTCAGTGGCTTAAATCACAGGTGAGAAAATGGAATTTGTGACAAGTGTCAGGGTTTTTTCTTAATTCACCTGAATCCTCTGTAGGTTGCCTACTATTTGAACTATATAATTCTTCTTATGCCCCAGCCAGTACCTCAACTTTTCTCTGTTAAAAGTTCCAATCTTTCTTCTCTCCTTGATACATGCCAAATCCACTCTGTCTTTTTCTCACTTTACCCTTTGTATTTTTTTGTTTTCCCATAGCCTGGGTGTAGAGTGGTATACATTTTCCAAACTCCTATCTTCTTTGTTTACTTAGTAAAGAAACAGATGGCTGGGCACCTGTCTGGCTCAGTTGGTAGAGCATGTGACTCTTGATTTCAAGGTCATGAGTTCAAGTTCCATACTGGGTGTAGAAATTACTTAAAAATAAAATCTGGAAAAACCAAAACATTGTGCTTTTGATTTTATAGGCTTTGCTGTGTGTCACTAGGCAGAATCAGATGAAGAGGTTAAAACAATAAAAAACCAAATGTAACTTCAGCAAATAGGGAGGAATTTTATAAGTTCTAAAAATGGTGGTTCTTGGCCTGTGGTTCTCAACTTCCTTTAAGATTTTTGCTTTTTGTTTCTATTCTAGGATTTGGAGTTCACTAAGTTTACTTCTTTCATCCCTCCCTATATCACCTGTTGTTAATGTTTTTAATAACTATTAAAATATAGTTCATAAAGCTTATACATTTAAAGTATAAAATTTAATATATTCAGAGTTGTACATTCTTAGAACATTTGCATTACCCCGTAAAGAAATCCTATGCCCTTAGCCACCATACTCCCAATTCTCTCATCCTCCTTAGTCCTAGACAAATATCTACTTTCTATCTCTATATATTGACTTATTGTGGACATTTCATATAATGGAATTATACAATATGTGGTTCTTTATGATTTTCTTCTTTCACTTAGCATAATATTTTCAAAATTTCTTCCATGTTGTGGCATGTACACACAACTTCATTCTGTTTCATTGTCAAATAATATTCCATTGTATGGTTATACTACATTTCATCCATTTATCAGTTGGTAGACAATTAGATTATTTCTACTGTTGTGGATAATGCTGCTATTAACCTTGATGTACAAGTTTTTGTTTGGACATAGGTTTTCTCTTGGGTATACACCTGGGAGTAGAATTGCTGGATCAGATGGTAACTATGATTAACTGTTTTAGAAATTGCCATACTTTTTCCCAAAGTGGCTGTACCATTGTACATTCCTACCCGCAGTGTATAAGGGTTCCGTTTTCTCCACATTCTCGCTAACACTTGTTGAACATGGCCATCCTAGTAAATGTGAAGTGCTATCTTATTGTGATTGCTACTTTATTTAAAAATTTTGTTATTGAAATTTCCTAACATGAAAAGTAAGTAGAATTATTCCTCTCTTTTTGCTGTAGTGTTTTAAGACCAATCTCAGACATCATCTTGTCTCACTCACAGATATGTGAATATTTGTACGTCTTTAATAGATAATGCCTTTTTTTATGTAGATGAAAAAAACCACATACCCTTCATCACATTTAACAATAATTTGTTTTTTAATGTTTTTATTTATTTTTGAGACAGGGAGAGACAGCATGAGCAGGGGAGGGGCAGAGAGAGAGGGAGACACAGAATCCGAGTAGGCTCCAGGCTCTGAGCTGTCAGCACAGAGCCCGACACGGGGCTCGAACTCACAGACTGTGAGATCATTACCTGAGCTGAAGTCGAACGCTTAACCGATTGAGCCACCCAGGCGCCCCTAACAATAATCTCTTAATGTCATGTCCCACCTAGTAAGTTCAGATTTCCATTATTGTCTCAAAGATATATTCTCACAGTTGATTTGTTCAATTCAGGATCCAAACAAGTTGTTCACATTTGGTTATTATGTCTAGTAAATAATTTTTATTCTGTAACTTTCCCCTTCCCTCATTTATTTTATAGAATCCTGCATATTCTGGATTTGGCTGATTATATCCCCAGGGTTTTATTTACCATGTTCCTCTATCTCTGTTCTTTTAAACTAAAAATTATATCTAATAGTTCGAGGATTAGATTGAGACTTAGACTGAAGTTCTTTTTCGGTAGGGAGATTGTGTCTTATCTCAGTTTAGTGATATTAAAATTCAACAGTGGAGAGGCACTTACTACTTGCAGTTACTTTCACAATAAACATCATACATGTGAAAAAAATTCAACAGTGGGTTCAACTGGTGTCAGCCAGTTTTATCCATAATAAAGCTTTCCCACCAGTCTTCCCACTTGGTTTTAGCAGCAGATAATTATTATTTAATTAGGGCTTGTAAAATGATGATTTTCTAATTATATTACCCCTCCAACCTTTATTTACTATGATTTGTCTGTGAAAAAGGACTTTCTCTTACAGCTCTTTCGTTCACTTGTAATAAAATCTGTACAAGAAAAAC